GGGCTGCTCCAGCCCATAGTTGTGCCCTCACTTTTGGAGAGCCCCACGTAGGAGTGTACATCCTTCGGAGGAGTCAGGAAGGGTGAGGATGGTGGCAAGTGGCCGTGCTTCAGGGACCACATGGGTTTTGTGGCAAGCTGTGTGACAGCAGTGTACGTTTGGGGGTTTTCCACCTCAGAAGCGGAGGCTGTGCTGGCAGACGGTGTTTGCTTAATGTGCTGCCCTCAGTGCAAGGCACAGGGTGGCCGTGCATCTGCTTGGGGCACACTTGTTGCTGTCAGCCTTGGCTGCCCATGTTCCCTGATGGGGTGACTGGGGCAGTGATGGAGCTGCTGCTGGAGAGGTGCAGCTCCTCTGTGTGCAAAGGAACATTTTGAGGGCAGTGCTGACACTCCTGCTGACAGCACAGGAGAACTTGGGCTCCTTGCATTGCTCTCCCGTAGGCAGCTTTTTACCTGCTTTAACCATCCATGTCCAGGCCGAGTTACATGGATGTGAGGGAAAGGGACACCCTGTTGCCTCACTACATCCTTTTGGACCAAAGGTTGGGCAGTGTCTCAGCCGGTGGAGCTGGACTTTGCTTTGTGGTGTGACTCTCGCAGGGCGGAGCGAGCGGGCACAAGGTGCTGCCATGCTGCTGTGTGGGCTCTGCCCTGCCCACCCAAGCAGATGGTCCGTGATCTGCTCCGGTGTAGTGGCCCCAGGCACTGGAATTGAGAACCTGCTCTGGGATCTCCAGTCTAGCTCTGTGTCCAGCTTTGGTTGCCTTGGCTCACTCAGGAGAAGCTTTCTGATGTGCAGCCAGCTTCGCAGCTGAGAGAATTTATGATGTTAGTTATGGAAACACTCTGCTTTTTCTTCCCTGCCCCTAAAACTTTGTAAATCTCCTGTAAACTTAAGGGAACTCTTTGGGAACAAGAACTCCTTGCACTGGACTACTCCTCGTGTTGAAACTCAGAGCTGAATTTTGGCCAGGACCGCCCTTTTCCTGTAACTGAAGCCCATCGTTTCCATGTGCTGGCACTGGCTGATGATCCTGGTCATGAATCCCAGTCTCTGGGAGGTCCGTGGCTGAGGTGATCCAGCAAGCTCCTTATTTCGACAACATCCCAGTCTGCTTATTCGGGGCAGGGGGTTGGACCAGAGCACACAGACGGCGATAAGTGTCGCTGCCCAGTGCAGCACACCCCAACCTTGCTGTGCTCCTGGCCCCAGTGCCAAGCCTGTGTGACTTGGAAAAGGTTGCCCTCTGTGTCTGATAGAGACAGAGCTGTTTATCTAGCGGTGAAACCCTTTGCAAGAGCTTCCAATCTGGTAAGCGCACTGTATTAATCCTTGAAAATCAAAGGATCCTAAAAAGGCCTCTGTCGCAGGCTGTGGAGCAGAGCACGTAAAGCCAGGGCTGCTGGATTTCAGGCTGTTACAGATGCACTGAAAAAGCACATTCCCTCTCATTTTTCTATTCTTTGCTTGTGTCTGGCAGTGAGCACATCAGATTTACAGCTCTCTGCGGCTGTGACCAAGTCAGGATCATCCATGCCAGCGGAGAAGTGGCTTGCAGGGTTGGAGAGGAGCAGGACCAGTCTGCTTAACTCCGTGGATGACGTGGTTGCGGCTCAGCGGGGCTGCCGATCACCTGCTGCTTCTTTGCTTGCTCTGAGCTCTGCCCCTTTGCCTCTTTCGGTGGCTCAGGCCACATCTTGTGCAAGGAAGCGCTGGCTCCTTACTGGCAGGAGGAAGTTGGATGGTTGCTCTTGAGTAATGTGTAACCAGCCTCTCCCGAGCAGTGTGACTTCCAGAGCGGTGACCTCTTTTTTCGATTGGTAACCAGAAGGGAGGAGAAGTGGGATATAGGTCAGTCTGGTGGCACGGCACCCACCATGACCTCACCAGTTCATGTCACCCTGCCTCTCCTCACCTGCCCCATGGTCTGTTCACCCAGACTGCACTCCTGTAACCTCAGTGCGGGCCCGTGGCGCTTGAGATCTCTGCAGCCTTTGCACCTCCCTGTGTCCTTTTGCTGGGTGCGGCTCCAACCTTTGCAGCCAGTTTGGATGACGGGGGGCTGATCGCTGCAGTGTCACTCGGCTGTGTCACCTGTGGGCCTTGGCCTGGCCTGAACTCCAGAGTCAAAGTCAGGGCCTGGGCAGTCTGTGTGATGGGGCGGCCCATGGAAATATGAACCCCACTGTGGGTAGGAGCAAGCCAGGGAAAGTTGCCTTGATGGTCAAGAGTTGATGGCAGGGATGGGGAGAATTTTGGGGAATGGATATTGGGAGCTGCTGCCAAGCCAGGGTACATCCTCTGTCTGCCAGGGGGATGGTGGGCACTGAGTCAGGGCATTCAGGTGTTTGTTGGAGAGGAGGTCAGCTCCCAGATCCGCTCCTGGGAGAGCGGAGCAGAGCTGATGGCTGCTCCTGGGGGCTTTGTTCATGTGGAAGCTCCTCTGCCCTCCTGTCCTGTCGAACGGCTGCTCCCTGCCCAAAATAGCTCCTGTGTCCTGCCAGCTTCTGGCCGCGTCCTTTGTCCTACTTGGAGGGTCCCCAGCTCCCACCTGTCTGGGGGTGGTGTAGATGGGCCCTGCTCCCATGGGCTGGTGGGGTCTCAGCAGCCTGTTCCATGCGTGGGCAGGGCTGAGGGAGATGCTGGTGTCTCCAGCAGGGGAAGGAAGCTGGGAGCTCTGTGGACAGACCTGTAGCTCCACTGAGGAAGCAAACCGACAGGCAAGAGCTATTTGCTTGAAGATGGGTTTGCTGGAGGCACCCAGCCCTGCTAAGCTGCATGGGGAGCATACCCTTTGCTGCCTGTGTCCTTGCATTGTACAGGGAAGTGTTTCTCATCTACATTCTCCTCCTTTTTTGGACTTACCTACGGTAATGACTCCCCTGGGGCATCTCCCACCCCTGCAAAGAGCAGAATGGGCTGAACCTTCCTTGAGTGGTGGGTATGCAGGCTAACACCCATTGCTGAGGAGTGGCAGCTCCTAGGGGAACTGTTTGAACAACTACGAGGAAAACATTGCTAGCATTGTAGCTCACAGCAGGAGGAGTGGTCCTTGATCCAGCGTTGAACCAGCATCTCTGCTTCCTGGACTTTGAAGGCTTCCAGTTTGTCCTCTGTTTGCAAGGCTCTTGCAGCCACATTAGGCTGGACTCGCCTCTTCCACAGAGCTTGTAGTGAGCGGATGCTGTCAGCTTGAAGGAAGCATGGACCATTGAGTCTAGCTGTACCAGCCTCGAAATTACAATCAGTTTCTCCCAGGCTCCCAGTAAAATTCCCACCCTGGGGCTGTACAGGGCTTAGCATGCACTAAAGCACTTTGAGCACATGGGACCATGCGGGACAGACACCTGGGTGGACCACAGGGCAAGTGAGACTGGAGGCTCTGTCACAGAGCTCTTGTGTCTCCTTCCACCCACCCTGGCTATAGCAGACCCTGTCACCTCCCTGCCCTACTGCTGACTGCTCTTCTCTTTTGCAGAATCATCAAAACTGTGGTCAAGTCCTTCAAGTATTTCTTCGGCCTGAGGTTTGAGGTGAAGGGACTGAAGAACTTCGAGGTGGAGGGCCCTGCTATCATTGTGTCCAACCACCAGAGCATCCTTGACATGATGGGTGAGGAGCTGGTGGGAGGGA